CTCCCGACAATTTCAGAAATAAACTTCATCCACTTTATCATTGTCATCATAGATATTAGCATTTCTTATTTAGGTATCTAAATGATATATATTAGCAAGTGAGTTGCTTCTTAATCTCATAATAATTATGAACAAACAATTTGTCATTTCCCTAGTCGGCCATCATTTATTGTGCATGCATTACATTACTATATTTCTGTTGGATTTTACTTAAAAGAGCAAGAAATTTTAAATATATAAATAACTTTCGCTTCTCTCATGTTTTATTGCTATTTTTTTTGGTACTTGTATCATTTTTTAACTTTATTATTATAGTTATTTTCATGCTATTAATGACAACAGTATTATTTAATCATTATGATTATTATTACTATTTAGAATATATTCTGCGCATTCATATTTCTCTTGGTTATGTCAATTTATTGAGCTTGATATTTCACATAACGTCATAAATTGTCGTCCTTTCTTCATGTATGATTTCACGATTATAAAATAATAGCAGGAGTTTGTGTTTTTGAATGCATTTATTCCGTTTCTTTTCATCACTTGAAAAAATTACTTTTTATTTACCTTTTCATATATTTTATTTAAGATATCTCATCATTCGTAACGATAAGAACAATATGATAAATCAATTGATAATGTTTAATTATCATTTCATCTCATTTGTATTTTTGAAAATTTTTTTTATTTCTGTTCATCAATTTTAGGAAGTAACATATGTGTTGCTTGATATTTTACTTATAATAACTAGTTTAAATTCTTTTCGTACTAATTCTATGCACCCATGTTTCATTTATTCAATATTCCACAGTAAATCACATTGCGACCACATAGCTGGAAAAATGAAAGAAATCGATTAGGCTGTCAACTGTTACCATGGTCATGATCAACCAATCATATGCTTACACATCGCTGGGCAATTCCTTTCTAGAGTTTCTCTTTTTCTTTCTTTTTTTCTAAATGAATAAATAAAAATATTATATTGAAGACTTCGTGATTAACTTCAGGTTAACATATCAATCAAATATTTTATTTTTCAATACATAACGAAGAATTTAGCATATTATAGAAGCAATAATTCTTAGCTTCTAATTAATAGTAAATTTCAAAATTTAGAAATATAATAGTTTCAAGTTGAAGAAAAAAAGCTATCAAAGATATTGAATTAATGTGTTTAAACTTCGAATGAATGCCTTTAAATGATGTTTTAACATATTTTTCAAATCCCTCATTGGCAAGTTCAAAGCTGTTGTTATGACAATATCAGTAGAAAGAAATCACATTTGTTGCACTATCATTAAAAGTGAGAAAATCCGGGGTGTACCGGAAGTATTCATATTGACTTCCAGCACTAACCTATCAGTGCGGAACGATTGGAGGGATGGTGATATTCCGGTCTCATTGAACAAATAACATATACCTTTAAAAAATATCATTTTAAAATGCTACCACTTACACAAAATTAGCCCACACATTCCGCATATGTCTCCCACATATTTAGACTCCAAATCACACTTCCAATCTTCTCCTAATCCTTCCCGCATTTCCGCAATCATGCTCCTCTCTCTCTCTCTCGTCTTCATCTTCCGTCTTCATATTCCTATTGCTCTATTGCATCCAATTTATCCTTCTAATTCTCTCGAGAAATACTTTTCCTCCATGTCTTTATTTCTTCATCTATCAATTTAATTTACTATTTTCCAGCACCTGACAATTTGACATTATTACACACCGCCCGATTCCCGCCAATTTATAGTATCAATGTTGCATCCTCTCAGCATGCTTCGCCTTGTGAAACAGCATGGGAAGAAATGATTTTCATTCGATGTATGCAATGATCAAGTATTTTAAAAGTGGTGAAATGAGCTAAGAAGGATATAAGCTTAGCACTTTGCTGCATTGTGTCCATTGCAAAAGCAAAAGGAAACTGTCTGTAAATCCATTTGTGGAGAAAATTTTAAATGTCTGTCCTTGTTGTTATCGTAAGTTCACAACAAATAACTTTATTGTTCTTTTACAATATTAATTTTTAACTTTCATTTTTCTTTCGCTCTATCACTGTTATTGTTGTTGCTATATCAACATTTATTGAAAGTGAATTGAGAGATGAGGTAAACCGAATTGAAGCTGGAAATATTCAAAAACTGTCGAGCCAGTTTTTTTTTTTTTTTTTTAATCTATGAAATAGAAATCTATAGGCTAAAGATTGTCTTACTGATTGCTCTCAACATAAACGATTGTCTCGCGTGCATTGTTGAAATACTGTAAGAATATCATGTCTAATAATTTATCCACCGATTTAAAGGTCTCTATTGGAATCACAGATTTTGTCGGTATAGTGAAAGTTGACGTTGAATCTGAATATAACTTGTGGTTTAGAGTCGAGTTGGACTTTCATATGTTCAAGAGCCTTCCTTGTTTGTTATTGCAGTTTGTATAGACGAATACGTTGAGTGAAAGATCTGTTGTAACGATTTTATTCGCTAGTAACAATAATATACAAGTATTAATCGATAGCGAGAATATGCTATTTGCAGGCAAATGTGAGATGAAGGAAATGAATAAATTGATGGGAACTTGAAAAACTTAAATAAACTGAATTAAATGAGTGATAGAGAGCAGTCGAACCGTAGAAACTTGTTGGTACAAAAAAATGACTATTAGATTAGATTAGAAAACCTTGCAGTATTTCTACATAACAAGCAAATTTGGTTTGGAACAGAGAAGTATTTTTTAACACATTAAACAACCTATATACCTTTTGTTAATAGTTGGGAAATTCTAGACAAACAGATAAGCTCAGTTACAATGGGAGGATGAGCGCTAGATAAATGCAATTTGAAACAGTATTACATTTCTTTAAGAAATGTTTAAGTAAATCAAATTTTAGTATTATAGATTAATACAGTTTTATTTGATATGTTCTATAAATTATTTGGAGGTTTACGAAATTTATTTCGAGTTTCATGACAGTCGCTAGGGTCAGTTTTAGCGACAGCAAGCTTCGATCCGACTTGTCTCAGTCCACGCTCCATTGAAATAATTTTTCACCTGCGGTTACTCCCAACCAAATTCTCTGTTATGAACTATCTGTAATATAATTTAATACTATTTAATAATGCATATAACATCGAGTAATAGAGTATTCGACGATTCGTTTGCATTATTTAACCATTTACAAGGATTTTATCATTAGCCAAACAAAATCCTTTTTTAAATTCCTTATATAATAGGCGCATGACTACAGTGAATTAAAAATCATTGTTGGGTGTTTTTTATCTTTTATAAAGTGAGAGTCGGTTTTTAACATTACGTCATTTGTCTACAAAAGTGATCATCAGATTGGAAGATCTCTACATTACAAATCGCAATGGTTAAAAAAGAAAGTTAATTGAACAATTAAACAACCGAGCTCATGACCTTTTAATCATTGAATAAAGTACGAAAAAAAATCTTAACACAAAATTGCACATATGTTAATAGACACAATTGAAAGGCGAGATAGTGTTGGATAAATGATTTCTCACTTAAGGTGTAAAATTGAAACCGTTTTATACTTATCTAAGAAATATTCAAATAGAGTATAATTCATATCTTATGAATTTAAAATTATTTCAGATATTTTAAAATAATTCGGTTTTTTGGACATCGTCTACAAATCCTTGTTCTCGAAGTCAAGCCATGATTTGGATAGTATCAACATGCAGAATGAGATCAAGGTAACAAGTCATTTTAAAGAGAAGAAATTTGGAATATCTTAGTCAAATTAAACTTCAAATGCAATTATTAAATGATTTAAAAGCTTACCTTACTTTTAGTTAATATATATTCAATTCCATATTAAAAGTAAATATAACAATGTAAAATGTGCGGCACAAAAAAGCCCTTAATCAAAATTGATTGGTCAATAATAATGATAGTAATAATAATAATAAATAATGACAATAAAAATAATAATAAATGATTCTTTTAAATAAAAAGATAAAATTTTATATCCGAACATTTGATTTGACTGGATCTAATGATTTTTTGAAACCATACAAATTATTTGCAAGAAAAAGAAAAAGAAAATTGACCGGAATCATTGGTATTTGAAACTCACTGACGAATGTACCAAACATATTTGATAGAGCAATCAGCTAATGGTAGTATGATATTTCTTCGTTGAATCCGATCTATCTTTGTGTTAATTGTAAAAGAATGAAATGAACCAAAGTAAGTTATACAAAAAATAAAAAAGAAATCAGTATATACATCACTTCATTTTAAGTAAGACAATTGCGCAATTGTGGAAAAAATACATTTTATTGCTTTGGAAAGCTTGGCATATTCGAAATTAGGTTTATGCTAAGAAGATTTTCAGTTTTTGGAATCATTATTAGTCATCTTTTGCTATAGATTGTATTTTAGATTGTTTGAACTTTAGACCATTATGCACTAAACCATTCAAAACAGTGATTCCATCTTTTCTCAAGTCGATTTTTCAAAAATAAACATTTTTGCTTCCAGATATTACGAGCTTGTTTGTTGCAAATGAAATGAATGGTAGGAAGTACGGTACAGTTGAAAATAATACAGCAATTAACAAAAATCCTCGATGGAATATTAGCTTTTTCACCGAATATTTTGACTGCGAATGTTGGCAGAAAGTTGAAAATAATAATTTCAATTTCCATAAAGAAACAAGTTAATGCTTTTCAATTAATTTCAGCTATTCGTTAGCTATTATTTTAATGGCTTTTGTTTTGAGCTAGCAAATATCTTTGAAATACTTTGTTTCTTAAAATGACTGTGTTACATCATTAGACTAATAGATCGAATTAACAAAAAGTTGGTAAATTCAGAAAATTTTGACAGATTCAGGAGAGAAAAAACGACAAGATGGTTTGCGCGATATAAGATAAAGTATACCAGCAAGAGATCTATTATCTATTCGAGACTAAATAAGTTAGATAATATAAAATTATGACATTTTACAGAAATCGGACATAGCGTTCCTAAAAAATTCGATGAGTTTTCTTAACTGTTATTGAAGTAATTGGCACAACAGTGGACCTGCTTTGCGCTGCCTTAATTTTGAATAGTAATTCTATAAATGTCTTTTTCACTCTCTCACGAAATCGTTTGACGAAAATTAAATTAGCTGTAGGCAATACAGCAGCATTGAAAATTACAAAACAGTTGATCAGAATATTGACGGAAATTTCAACTTCTTTGCCTACCAGTTTGATGGCAAGCTTCGACAGAAAGTTGAAACAGAAAATTTGAATTTCCATTGCACCACAAACAAACACTGCCTGAATCAACATCATTCGTTCATATTTGCTTGTTGCATTCGCATTCTTCTGCTCACGTCCTATAAAAATTCTTATAACAGCTAAATTTAATTACTTCATTTAAAAATTAAGTGAAATAAGAAAATGAAAAAAAAAAAAAAAAAAAAACTGAAATGATATTGAAATCCTAAAGATTTCTGAAAGTGTTTGGGAACGAATTCAAAGGAATATTTATGATAAATGAACATAATTTATGTTTTTTCAAGGTAACGGCAATAAAAAAAGTAGTGCAATGATATATAAATTACCGTTCTCAATGCATAAATTCGAAATATTCTTCCGTTTGTTACGCATACTGCAGAATATTAGAATATAAATTGCGAACATCGCAATGGGTATCGCAAGAGTCCATGCATAACGAATTCTGAATACATATTTGTACAAATATGTATGCGGAAGTAAAAATGTTAGCCGATGGACAATAATTGCTTTAGCAAAAAGAAAATTGAACTTATAATCATCAAAACTGTAAATATACTTAAAATTCTTCCGTTTTTTATGCATATTCTTCTTTTTTTAAAAGGAAAAAAAAAATGAAATTCAAGGGAAAACGAACTTCATAAACACAGCTCCACTTTCTGGCGCTCTTTTGGTACAATTAAATGACCATTGGAAGTTTGACACATTGAAAATTTTGATGCAATAATGAAATTCTACTAGCGATATTACTGAAAAATCATTTGCGAAATTTTAGACACTGATAGTTCATCATAAAAGTGAAATTAGTATGATAAGCTCGTAATGTTGCTTACATTTTGACAAGGTCAGGCATAAATTTATCACTGAGGTTGCAAAATAATTAAGTTCTGATAAATCCAGTTAGACTGACTGCTATGCACTGAACAACCACCGAATGATAATTTCTAAATTTAGTTACGACTTAGATTAAGATGCCATTCGCAGTCTCTTTTTAACCAATTATTTTTTATAAAATATTGCATAAAATGATTAGTGTAACCTACCGAAACCTGATAACCATAGGAAGATGAGCAGAAAATAGAATTTCATCGATTTGAAAAAAGCGTTAAATTTTGGAAAACATATGGCTATAAGGCGATTCATTGCCAATAAAAATGTCAAGTGCAACGAGACGAAAAACGAGAATGTACTCAAAACAGAAAATATTCGGTAAATCCATGCTGAAATTTGTACTTAAATACTGATGGAATAGATAATTAAAACAAAATTGTTTAATCATTTGTGACATTACATGAAATAAATGTAATTCAACTTTATTTATTAACATACTATGCTATAATCAATTTAATTATGAATATTTCAAATCATATAAATGATAAGTTAGTGATATATGAGCGAACATAAAGAACTTACGCTCAAAAATTTTGTTCCTTAGTATTTTAAGCACGACAATGGTCGCTTGTGGGATAAAGTTCAAGAAGCTACAAATAATAATTTGGTATGTTATATGAGTGAACGCTCGACTGTAAAGATTGTCACGACTACAGATTACGATCATTAACAGTACATTGCTAACAAAACCGTATAACAAAAGCAGTGAAAACAGTACAACCGCCACGTATCTTTCTACCGTATTACGTTCATCCCTTATATCGAACACATTTGTCGCATTCTCTGCGTGACAGTTTAACGGTAATATCAGGAATAATGCAGTAATACAGTAAGAATGAGTAATCGGTTTGCTCATTGACAATCTTTTCCGGATACTGCGATTATTGTGCCAAAATGACTGTTAGTTATTAGATTTTTTAATGCCTAAAATAATAAATTACGAAGAATGCTTTTAACTCAAATTTCACACAGCAATTGCAATCATTATGGCGAATGCGATAATATTTAATGAGAATTATAAATTTAATCGTGAAATTAACTTCTTATTTTTCTGCCCATCTGTCAAAGCTGCTGAAAGCAGTTTGATGCTTTATTGCCATTTTCAATATCAAATCACTTAAGAAAAGCTAAATTCATTAAAAAAAAAGCTAAATTCATTGAAAATTTAAACTGAATATGAGATTTAAAATGGGTTAATTTGGCGTCTCTATCTTCGGGTATTGTGAATTTGAAATTATTGATCTAAGAAAGAAATGAGCTCAGTGTTTCTCATGATTGCACTTTGATTTTTTCCTTGGCTTTCTTAAAAAATAAACTAATGTTTTCATTTGATTAATGGATCTTTATTTTACCTATGTAATATCAAAAACTGAATAATATGTCAAATTAAAGCACAATTTCATTATGAATAATACAATAAAGATATTTCAACAGCAAATGACTTTCTGATAATGCGAATATAACTTCCGCCTTATCACAATTTCAAAACAATTTTCAATCAGTGTTCATAGAAAACAAAAGGACTATGAAGATTGCTTCATCATTTCTCGCTTAAATTAACCATTTATCTAGCTATCAATTTAGATTCGCATATTGAATGTCCCAATTTATTGACGACGGATAAGTAAATCTCAGAAATGTTGTCCATATTTTCCAGTATATCACTGCAAACATTTTCCAAATTTCATGTCATAATCAAAGGATTGCAACTTTTTGCTTCTGAAATAGCAATATAAGAAACGTTCCGATACAACCGGATTAGTATGAACTTGCAATGTCACAATCTGCACACTCATAAAATATTTACCAAACAACAATCTCAACTAATTCCAATCAAATTTTTTTTACAAATCACAACAATAATTGGATAATGAAATGATTAATCAATACGTATAGGGAATTTTTATATTTATGAAATGGATTCACAATTAAATGGAATAAGACTTATGAAAAAACAAATAAAATATTCAGAAATTTTTTTAAAAAAAATGGAAAGAGACTATTTAAATAAATAAATGACGTGAAAAATAAACAAATGACGTACTAATACTTTGCTATTCTTTTTACTTCTCACAGTAAGAGGAGCAGATTGAATAGTTTAAGCTAATTGTAACTTCTGCGAAAAAACAACAAATTTCATAAGCAAATTTTATCTGAACGATTTTTTTCTTCTTTTTGAATTAAAATAAAACGAATTTGCGTCGAAGTCATTCAAATTATAAATATTTCAAATCTAATGTTTGATTGTGGTACAATTTTCAACCAAATAATAAGTCTGTTGTGCTCATTTCATTATGAATCACCTAATGAGCAAATACTGTAATTATTGATGGAAACATTTCAATTTTATGATTAGAAAAGGGAAATAATAGAACCAAAAAAAGAGATTATGTTTAATTCTATAGCAAAATAACTTGGGTTTGCCAAATAAATTGGTTTAATTACAGATAGTTAACAATTTATAGTTAGCATAATAAACTGCAGTATGCGTAGAAGGTTCTTATTAAAGAAGCTTCTTAAATAATTATAAACCAGCTTGACTAAAACGCTTCAAGAAGCATTAATAAAGACTTCTGCTTACCACCAGACACATTTAGCATTATTTGAGCACATCTTCATAAATCAAATAAAGTTGTATCTTAACATTTAATATATTATTCATTTGTTTGTTATGATTTAGGTAAAGCAGAATTGTATGCTATCAAATGAAACCTAGTTAGCTTACTTGTACTAATAATGAGCAGACATGGAGATCAAAGTGCATGTTGGGAAGCTTTGAGCTTTTTTTTCCTTATATCAATAATTTAGGTTCACAATACTTGTGGGTGGGGCTGCAACTTGAATTCATTTTAAACTTTCTATTCAATTTAAGTTTTCAATAAATCCTTCTGTTTGTACAGTTTAAGATTTTGCATGACGAACCACGTCAAATTGCTTTTAACAATTTTGATGGATGAAAAAAATACAACTTATTTTTTCAATTAAATTTTTATTTCTGATTAATTATTCTCACCCAAATGGATATGAAATCTACATGTAGTTTAAGCTAAAACATTCTTCATATCACATGTTGTCGCCACAATGGCGAAGCTATAACCTAATAAACAAAGGCTATTGTTTTAAATGATTTTAATCCACTTCGTAACCTTAACACCCATAAAATCCCTCCCAATTTTCTTCCTTACAAATCCACTGATTATAGTTCCTTGTTTGGTATGGCTCAACTCCATTGATAGTCAATTCAGAATTATCTTGTAAAAAAACTTTTATATCACTACTATAGCCATGAATGCTATCTATATTGATGATTTTATCAGCCCTAATATTACACCTTGATAAAACGTAGTTTACATCCACATCTTTAGTTAATGCAAGTAATAAATGCTCTACTTTTGCATATTTAAGATTAAAATTAGAGGCAATCAATAATACTCTATTTAAACTTGCCTCTAAATTCTTAGAAATCATCTTCTACTCTCTTTGCAAATGGGAACTTATATAATTATTAGTGTACAATTATTAAAAAAATTAAAATCCATCAGTTTGTTATAGCTGAAAGCCCTGTGTATGGAGCTTATTGTAAAGAAATTGGTGTGTAAATACAGCATTACAAACCAAGTTTAGATTAAACTTCTTGCAAACCATATAATTTTTGCCTGACCATCATTTATGTAAGCCGAAAAAACTACTTGACAAACCTCGCTAGCTCCCTTATCCCGATACTGGAGGTGTTAAGTTACCTTCAATCTGTGCAGATTAAAATAATAAAGTGTTATATAGTTGCGAGGTGTCTAGCTTGCTTATATCTTTAAATGTTTTGTAATTAAGTTACATTTGTGTGTTATGTATCAATTCATTATTGTAATGTTGTATAATATTTAGTGTTAATCTGTGGTTTATTTACCCAAGTTTGAGGTTTGAATAATAAAGTATTTCACGAAGACTCCCACAGCACACGTACACAGAACGGAACCAGTACAAATTCGAGAATCTACCAGTATCGAGCACAAAGAAGTCAAAACGGAACCAGTACAAATTCGAGAATCTACCAGTATCGAGCACAAAGAAGTCAAAACGGAACCAGTACAAATTCGAGAATCTACCAGTATCGAGCACAAAGAAGTCAAAACGGAACCAGTACAAATTCGAGATCTACCAGTATCGAGCACAAAGAAGTCAAAACGGAACCAGTACAAATTCGAGATCTACCAGTATCGAGCACAAAGAGGTCAGCGATCTGAACCATCAAGAAAGGAAGCTACTTTGTATCACAAAGAAATAGGGCAGTAATAAAGAAATTCTAAATTTGCTTTTACACATGTAGTTTAAGCTAAAAGCATTCTTCAAAAAAACATTTCAGACAATTTTTTTTTTTGAATTTTTTTTTCGAATTTTGAATTTTTAAATTTCTAGTCATTGACATTCACGTGTGCATAAACTTAAATAAGATGAAGTAGGATGTTTACGTAAAAGATTGTCAATGAGCAAACCGATGACTCATTTACTGTATTATTGCGTTATTCCTGAATGTAATACGGTAGAAAATAAGTGGCGGTTGTACTGTCCTCGCTTCTTTTTTATACGGTATTGTTAGCAGTGTACCGTTGATGGTCGTTTGCTGTGGCTATGACAATCTTTACAGTCATTCATTTGTTCTTATTGTATCACAAATTATTGTTTATAGCTTCTTGAATTTATCCAACTTTATCTGATAAGTGTATTTTCTTATTTCGTGCAGTCTTGCAATAGCACAAATTAAGTTTGTTTGTGACAAATATTTTTTTGAAGCCGTTTTCAAACATTTTCAGAATTTGCAGTCATTTCAGTCTTTTTATTTAATTTTTAAATAAAGCGGTTAAATTTACTATTATAAGAATTTTTGTAGGATATGAGCAAAAGAGTATGGTTGCAACAAACAAATATGAACGGACAATGTTGATTCAAGCAGTGTTTGTTTGTGATGAGATAGAAATTCAAATTATCTGTTTCAGTTTCCTGTCTCTTGTCAATATTTCAACAATTATGTGATTTTCAGTGCTGCTTTGTTGCATCAGTTTAAAAAAAATTGAAATCGTGAAAGGAATATCTACTGTAGTACTAACTACTTCAATAGCTATGAAGAAAATTCATTCAATTTCTCATATGCGTTAAGATAGTTACGTTTGATCTGTGCAAAGTACAAATTCATATTATTCATTCTTGAATTGTTGCACTTCCTGCAATTTTGCAATACTTCTGAGTGAATGTATATTATGTCACATTGTGAAATGATACAGCGGGCGTTATAATGACATCAAATATGCATTAAGAATTATTTTATTTACTTCAAATAGCTCTGATATGCGCCGCAGTTGTGTCATTTTTTGATTTCTTTGCAATATTTGAATTTGACATTCATCAAATCATTTAATCAACACTTCCTTCATCTGATGAATACAAAAAATTATCAATTTTAAACTGCTTACCTTCTTTCAATTCAATGTCAATATTGTTGAACTTTTACATAAAATAAAATACAAATTCATTAGCCTTAATTTAGCTAAGAAAAGAAAAAAATTCCCTTTTTGCTTTAAATTTTTGCCTTTTTTGCTCTGAATAAATCTTTTACAAATCATAGGGATACTGTACAAATCATAGGGATACTGATATGTTATTTAATTAATTACATAACGATGTATCACACTAATTAGTCAACCTTTTTCCTTTAGAACTGCAAAGTATTTTATTCAGCAATTCAAATCTTTAACGATAAAATTTCACAACTTGTTCTAAAAAAGAGATGAAATGTTGCTTTCATCAATAATCGCAGGATTAGAACTACAATTAGGTGTAGAATAAGCATTTTTCAATTGTATGAAATAGTGTATGTTATGTTATTAGTAAACACTATCAGAAATTTTTAATTTGGTCCAGATATTCTAAAGACAATTAATTAGTCAAGTAATTCTAATACAATATCATATTTGTGCTAAAAATCATAAATTTATTTTGGATGTTAATTATAAATGTTTATTGATAACAGATAATTCAACATGCCAATGCTGCTAATTATAATAAACGGATGTGTTATTTTTTCTTTTTGACTTATAAATTATGCAAATCAGTTCAGTCCATTCCGCAAAAATATTATTTAAATGCAATCAAAATTTATCTATGATATATCTTTAATAAAACTCAACTTTTTAAGATTTATAGCATAAAATTTTCTTGTGTAATTTGCATAATTTTTGCATAAAAAATTTTTTGGAAACATTTTATTCGAATTAATAATTCAATCAAATTTATTTGATTACCATTGAGTTCAGCATTTATCAAATCGCTTCCAAAGATTACTATAAAGTTAAGTTACATAAATAAATCTTTTTTTCTAACATTTTTTCTATCACCCATATATTACTAAATAAATAAATACATGCATAAGTTCATTACACTTGATTTGTAGTATTAATATATATATATATATATACGTTTATTTGTTGATGATACCATTTGATCTCATTATAATTTCTATCTGTCATATTATTTTATTAGTCATATTATTCCATAATAAATATTTTTTGTTTCCCATATAATATTCATAATTCATTTGATTTGTAATTAAATTAATATTTCAAAGTTTTTGTTCCGTTAATAATTTTTTATCAGCAGCAGTTTTCCCCATAGGCATCTCAATTTTTCCCAGGCGACCATTTCGGTAATCATCCACTGAACCCCACAGATCAAAATATAGTTCTGTTGGAAAATTGAAATCTTTTATCTCTGACTGAAAAAAAATATTTCTACTTGCAATAGTCTGAGAGTGGTAATTTGATGTAGTGGGAGTTTCGAAATTAAAATCGACTTTAATTTTCTTCAAAAGCTCAATAGGTACGCTTAAAAAAAAAAAAGAGAAAGAAGATTAATGAAAAATTTTAAACCTTCATAATCAAATTCAGTTCTACCCTTGCAGAGAGGAAAAATCTCAACTACTTCGGAAGTGAAATTAATCGTCATAATATTTAATATATAAGGAAAATATGAGGAAAATCAGCTTCCTATTAATTAAAAAGGAAGTAATATTAAGCTTTTGCTATTATTCTATGCAATAATAAACATCATAAATTAGTGAGATGGTATGCCTCATTAAAGAAGGAATCTTTAATGAGGCATAAATCAGTGAAATTTATTTTACCTCCATTAAAATATTTTTAAGGTCATCAAAATTTTTGCAAGATGAAATCATTTCCCATATTGTTTGTGCTAATTCATTGTCGTGGAAACCGAAATATGAATCGAATATATCATTTATCTTATTAATTATCAATGCATTCGGCATCTCCTATATAAATAAATAAAATAAAATTTTGAATAAATAGACTACCTGAACTTTCAAAACAATTGTTCCTAAATTACTAATACAAAAAAAATATCTAGAAGTACTAATAATAAGAAATACTAATATAAAAAATTAAAAGCTTGTTGATGCAAAGTTCTTGTTGATGAATTTAAAAGGAAAAAAAAGCGCATCAAATAAGAGAAATTAATGCTACCTGCACAATTACCGTTCCATCAGCTTTAAATCGTATTGTTTCATTTCTATCCAAAATTGAACGCATGCGCTTTGGCATACTATAAGAAGCTATAAAATTAAACCCTGTTCGTTTTGGTTCAACCAATCGCATTGTGAATCTTAAAAAAAAGAAGCCATAAATTTAATTTTTCTTTAGAAATATTGGTGAAAATAAATATAATAATAAAGTTAGAAGGGAGAATTTCGGCAGAAGAGTCAAATTATTTAATAAAATACATGAAAATGTGACAAATTTTCCTTTTATTGGTGAGCTTTAGATGCTATAAATAAACAAAGGTTGAATTTCAGAAATTTGATCAAAGTATTACTTCTAGAAAGCAATACAGTGTATAATAATTTAATTCTGCTTAAAAATAGTGATAATTAAGAAGTTCAACTAACGTTGAACCAGTAGGTAATGCACGTAAACACCGAGCAACATCAAAATGTTTTCGTCCAACCATACTTTCGTTGTTTATTTTTTCAATGAAATCACCCACCTAAAAATTATAACTTTTCATTCACAATCTTTTTCCAACATTAATGCATTTGAAGTTGAAGTTCTAATCTAGTTTTTGATGTGTACTAATTTCAGGTAAGATTTGTAGATTCGAATTTTTGCCTATAACAATAATTTATTATGGAAAGCATAAGGTAACACTATTCAAATTTTTTGCCTTTCAATACAAAAAAATGAATGTCATTTCTGTTGGCTGATTCAATTCGAAGGTTTAATGATAATTTCAGAGAGAAATAAATGCTGAATGATTAACTATACTAAAAGAGTGAATGAACAAAAGGTTGTTATAAAACAATTTCTCCCTTTGTCACCTTATTCTCTCAAACTGCAATGCCAATAATTACCTGAAGTGCTGGTTTTGCTTTTGAAGTTATGGTATCAGGGAAGATCCGTTTGATAAATGCTTTTCCTGCTCCATTATCTGTTATTGTCAGACCTAACGCTCTGAAAATCGGTTCTGTTACATGTGATATCTCTCAGATAAATAAACACTTAGTTTATATTAATGATCACTGTTAATAACTGATTTGGTAAAATTCCTTTCGAAAGAATTTTTTCGGAGATTTTTCAAGTTTTGACTCAAATAATGGCATCGTTTTACTGAATATAATTAATGTATAACAATTTTGAAGTGTTATGTGTAAATTAAATTGAAAGATTGATCCACAATTTTGTTGTCATTTTCTCTTCTTACAAAATCATGCTTATTATAAATGTTAAGAATGGTGATATTTAAAAATATATTGTAACTGAAAAATTATATCATAATTATATTTTAAGTAGAATAAAAATAAATTTGTGAAGGAAATAAACTGAAGGCTATGAGAGAGATCGTATCGAGAACTTGAGACTGGAATTTCATACTATAGTAATGCCCTCCCTAAATCAGTCAATGTTAAAAAAATTCTTAATTTTAATCATCACAAATACCATGCAGTTCAGTTTTCATCAACATAATTTCTAAGCTTCAATTAATATAGACATTATACTTTTCAGTTTTGATCAATGTTACTTCTTTCTTCTGTCCCGCAATATGTGCAAAAATGAAATCGTTGATATTAATAGTTGAGGAAAGCAAAGCATCCATTGAAATTCGATGCGTATTAATTGTGCAAAATAAAATATCATCCACACTGACCTCATCATAACAATTTGCTATCGCCTGAAGATATGATTTTTTTTTTTTTTTTTTTTGTTGGATAAATTCATTTCAGTTCTAAACGATTAATGGTTAAAAATTCTTACGTTGTTGCTTTTCTTCTTTTCTAACAAAAATTATCGAATTTAAATAATTGATTCATTCATCTAATTAAATTAGTAAAAAATAATGACTGTATCTGTGGATCGCAGTATCTTTCTTTTTCAATGCAAAAAAAAAAAAAAAAACTGACATATATCATTAATAATGATGACAATTATCATATATGCTACTAAAAACTTTAAGCTTAAATACATTTAAATTTTTAAAGTTCTAATTAAATTTAAAATCTTCATGTAAAAAGTGATGCAGTAAGCTGTAATCTGGTTAACTTATAAAATTCTATTACTAGAGTGTGATACTGCAACCATATGAAGTTAGATGATGCTATAAAAATCTAATGCAATAATTATAATTTAACAAATTTTATGAATGATAATGATATGATTATAGCACCTGATAAAGTTGAGCAATGCTGTTAAAGTCACTAATGATACCAGTTGGACTACCATGAGCTAATTGTACTTGAAAGGTTAATTTAATATTAGCATTAGTGACGCATGTTTTGACTATACTATCAGATTTTATTTCATTAAGTGATCCATCAGTATTCCGGTCGTGTTGCTTCTGTTGCTGCTGTTGAAGTTTTTCGCCTGTTAGCTCTAGAATTATGAATAACTTTAAAATAAATATGCGATAAACCAATATGACTGTTGTGTTATCAGCAAAAATCAAGCACTGATACTGATTTTGACTCTTGTTAGTAATTCAAATACATTTTAGACTAACCAAATTTTTCCTTCAACTCCTTACCACTTGTTGAGATAGGTTTTGAATTCCATCGTTGTTGTTGTTGTTGATGATGAGGCAAATTTACATTAGTATTAAGATTACTCTTAGTGGATGTATTAGCTGGAGTAGTTGGTGGTGCATTGCTAGTACTATTCAGACGACCTTGCTTTTGTATTAATCGACGACGCCATCGCCTTCCGCGATATACCGGTGGTAAATTTTGCTGAAGTCTTGGTCGTTCTAATTGTTGCTTATGACGTTGCCACGAACGTGAACGACGACGATCATAAGGAACATTTACGGGATTTCGTTTGAAAAATTTCCTTTTATTTATTGATCATAAATTGAAAAGAAAAAAAAAAAAAATCAGTGGAAACTTATTTTCTGCTTCATATCATAAAGTTCATAATTAATCCAAAGTTATTTACTACTAATTATGCTAATATTGTTTATTCTACTAGAGAATAATTTAATGATAATTAACGTTTAATCGAATTTTGTCGCAAACAAATGTTACATAGATAATTTTATTTATGATTAACATAATCAAAAAAAAAAAAGAGAAGGAAACCGCGAATATAATACTTACTGTGTATCCTCAGAACTTCCTTCATAACCACTACTAGAAATTTGCCCAACTTTACTAATATTATCATTTTTGCTACCAAAATTAGCGCTAGTACTACGGTTATGGTTACATAAGAGATTCTGTGATGCAACACGACCGCTTGCTTCCATAATTTCTGTTAGTAATAATTAGACTATGCTTAATATTAATCTTTTAAATTCAATTCCAGTTATCTTATTCATTTTAAACAATTCTTATATTAAAGAAAATCAAATATAATATTAGTTTTCATCAGAAACTGATGATTTCAGCCATTTTGCTAATTCTATTCTATATTTTAATCAATTTCTTATTCAGAATAATTTATAATATTGAAAATTTCATCATTATTTCTGTCCTGCTTTAGCGTTTCCTTTTTTCTTACATCAAATTAGCTTTATCTTTTAATTTTTTAGTCGATTTTATGATCATACAATTCAAATAACTAATAACTCATAGTCTTATTTTTAACAATATCCGAATTGAATTCTCTCAAACTTGAAACAATAATTATTAAGCGAGAAGAAAATGCTAGTAAAAACATTTGCTGAAAATTTCAGCAAGGATTCATTAAGGATTAATGGTAGTAATAACTTGAAGAATATTTGAATTAATAATAATATTACGATATGGTACATCGGTATGTAATTGGGAAAATTGGTAATTAAAAGTTGATAATAATGTAATTGATAAGAAGAAATAAGAGAGATTATAAAATCCATAAGAATGATAGAGAATGATAAGAGTTATGATAAAGCATATAGTAATGACTTAAAGAAATGAGCCAAAAATGATCGTAATTCCAAGATATTTGAATTAATAATGTTACGATATGGTCTATCAGATTGTACAACGGGACGGCGTACATTTTCATAGACCGCGTTAATTCAAGAGAAAACAGTCCGAAATTTTCCGGAGATGTAAAATTAGGGAAGGTTATAAATGATGTTGTGGATATTGTAGGCATAGTATTGATAAGGTCTTTTATTCTACTACAAGATTCGATAAACGCTTGAGAATTAATTATATGCTATAGATTACCGTATAACTCGTGTTATCACGCCATTTCACTTCACGTTGTTCGTTACTGAAAAATTGGCGATGAAAATTGCTAATTTCATTTTAGCTCGATTAGTACAATTATCTGAATTATTATATGATATTATCTGTTGATTCTTTGTAATAATATTTGTCGTTAAAATATTAATTATAGGACAAATTATTGTTGCAGGTAGTTATTTCGTACATATGCCGAAATATACAGAATATTATGATGGAGAAGTGTTCAGTACGTGTACCGTTAGCTCAAAATATAATAGTTTTACGGGAATGCGATACGCTGCATATTGGAAATTGCTTCTGCGAGATATATTTATGCCTCGAGGCTATCCACAGAGTGTTTCTCCAGATTATATGAACTATCAAATGTGGGATACTATTCAAGCTTTTGCTAGTTCTATGAGTTCAGCGTTGTCTACCGAAGCAATATTGCGGGGTGTAGGCGTAGGAAATAAGGTAATTATCAGGTTTTTATTTTGTTATTGTTGTAAGAATTTGATGTGTAGGCGTCGGAAATAATCTGATTATCAGGTTATCAGTTTTTCATTGTTGTAAAGAACTGTGGCAAAAGTTTTTTTTGATTAAGAATTATTGAAACTGTTTCGCTTAATATTGATATTCTAAAGTCAGTTTGAATTTTTTTATTGAAGAATTATTAGAAGTTATATAGCGATGCAGTAAAACTCTATTTGGACCAAAAAATGGATTTGCATTAGGTCGGGGAATTGGAGGGATATATTCATTGAATGCTCTATCTTAATTTTATAAATTTTTAGCAGACATATAAATGAGAACTAGTACGAATGATGGAATGGTGATGGTATTAAGTAATGGTGGCTACAAATACTTGCAGGCTGCATCAACAATGGCAGCAGCAGTTGCATGGTTACTAAAAGATGGTATTGGAATGCTTGCACGGATTTTGTTTGCATGGCTTTATAGTCCATATTTAGATGCCGATTGTAAGCAGTGGCGATTAATTGCTGATTGTTTTAACGATTTAGCATTCTGTTTAGACTTAATTACGCCAATTTTTCCCAGTCTTTTTATGCCTATTATATGCTTATCATCAATGATACGTGCTGTTGTTGGTGTAGCGGGTAGTGCCACACGCACTACAGTTACCAATCATCAAGTACATATCTGTTTATTTCCTGATTTCAGTTTTTTTTTTTTTTTTTTTTTCCTCAATATTATCCAAGGCCCAATATTTGATATATTATCAAGGTCTGGAAAATGGCGTTCTTATTAGTTCTAAAACTCGTGATTAAATGGAAGATTTAAACAAATACACTGTGACATGTTGGCTAGTGAAGGAAAATATAGTATTATTTACTACTACAAATTAGTCTGATAGATGGATGATTGTTTCTTATTTAAAAGGGAAATAAGAAATTTGACTGGCACATGATGGTGATTCTTGCAGGCTATATTGGATAATGTGGGAGACGTTGCGGCGAAAGATGGTTCGCAGGAGACACTAATCAATGTTTTCGCTCTTCTTTGTAGCCTGCTATTGCTTCCTGTTGTTAGCAGAAATATCGTTTCTGTTTGGTTGTTATTCTCTCTTTTTACCTTTATTCATTTGTATGGCAATTATCGTGCAGTTAAATCACTGCAATTCAGGACGCTGAATCAGTCGCTGCTTCGAATTGTTGTAAAGTTTGTCTTTAAAAAAAAGAAAAAAAAAAAAAAAACGAGAAAATCTTGACTGTTTGGTATATTGTTCGTCATTTTGCTGTATGACATGCTATGCAATTATGGAATGAAATTTTTGACTGTCAGTTGATAGGGTAAATTACAATTATTATATTTGAAAAATTATTAGTCATTTATGTCTGTAATTTGTCTACCTAAAAATTTTGATTGTTTTGTTACAAAATATTATTCTTAATGAGTCATTGCATTGAACTCGAGACAAATCCTTTAATTTTTTCTCGCTGTTCGAATTTTGTTTATTTTTTCTTCAGAGATTATATCGAGACAAGAAAGATTAGTACTGTTAGCGAAATGAATAGTAAGGAACCGATACTATTACATTGGAGTTCATCACGGCACTACTATGGATGTCGTTTATCTGATGTGTCAGCTTCGTCTAATAAACTTTCATTTGTGTGTTCGAAATTTACTGTTATCTGTGATTTGAGGAGTAACTACGGTTATGTATCAATGGCTAGTATATCCAATATATCTGATCAACTTCGAGCTGCACTCTGCTTGGAATTAATGTTAAATATGAGAGCGTAAGTTTATCTTACTATTTCACTCCATTTAGCAACAGTTGTGAAAGAAAGTTCCTAGTATAGTCATTTCTTCTTTATATTTTATGCTGTAGGCCTGTTATTATAAACATAATATATTGGCTTTCCTTGGGAAAAGATCTTATTGTATGGAATATTTTTTTCCCTTAGGTATCTTTTTTCGGCATTGTGTCAGATTTTACAGGAGCACTTTTATTTTGTATTTGTCAAGATTTTTCATCCTTATATGAAGAATTATAAGTTTCACAAAGTTCGATATAAATCGTTTTCCAGACCTCCATCACCACTAGAATTGGACGAATTTGTTGAGAATTTGAAGTCAGGAGGTTGGCTAATCAATAAGCATCGGCTTGTATTCGATCGGTGGACCTATTCTGAAAAATAATTCAGCTCAATATGTGTGTTTGTTTTTTCCTAATTTATATTCATCATTATTTTATTTGTTATTTGTAATGCTTTATGGTGAAAAAAAAAAAAAAAAAAAAATGCCTTGATGAGCCTCTGTAATTTAATTTCATATGATAAAAGTCATTCTAAAGTAATTTTGATTCAGAGCAGCCTTTTAGCTTCCTTGCCTATAGCTAGATAATTTTAGATAGTAGAAAAATACAAAGAATATTTCATTGTTATTTGATTACAAGCAAAACATAATTTCCTACTAGTATTTTCTTCATAATTAACCGACTTTTGATCTCATCTTTCAGCGATGAAGCAGTATCTTAATAAATTTTCTTAGATTTACTGAGATACATCTTCATGGTTTTAGAATGAGAAACAATGTGCAAAGGTGAAATTATTCAAATAAAAGGATTTTGTTTTATAGAATGTTAATCTAGAAAAAAACCGTACATTGTTCTCTTCGGCTGTATCCTTAATTTTGAATCTTGACATGGACTGTGCAGGAAGAGAGGAAAAGAGTATGAATGAGTAGTGTTAATTGGTCAAACAATTTCGAATTAGTTGAAATTTCCTAGAGTTAATCGTTCGAAAGTCTATATATGTAGTAGCGAATTGTAGCAAAAGAAGAAACGGAAATGAAAAAATTTTTAACTGATTGAAAAGGTACGGATAGTTCATGGATATATAACCATTGGATAGTATTTCTGAATGTTCATATAATATTTTTAAAGCATCAATGATTGGAATAATCGAAAATTTATTTATATTAAAGCATTGATTCAGCTACGTAAGTTGACATAAAAAAAAAAAAAAAAAAAAAAAAAACATCAGCATGATGAAAGCAAATATCACAAAACAGGTGGTAATTATACAAAATAGATTAATCATTAAAAAGAGTGCCCGTAACAGTCGGTTTACCTGTTTTGGTATTATTTTTTTGGTTAGATGATTCATTTATTATTAATGCCCGTAATCAGTATTATAAATGGAGGAAGATTTTTTAAAAAATGATTTTAATCCATGTGAATCTCTATTCAAAACATTAAATTAACATTGATAGTAGGAAATATTGTTGGTATCTAAGAAAAGGAAATTTTTTACATTATTTTTTTATCAACAATTGTTTGGGATTTTTAAGATTAAAAAAGATCGAAATTCATAGGTGTGGAGAAAATACCAAAGATTTCTTACTTCACAGCTTATCCGTCTTCTTCTGATTTTTACCGAATAATCTAGGGCAAGAAATAATTTCAATTCTTTAGAAAAAGAGAATTAAAAAAGGGAAAAAAAAATGCAAATTGATAAACAAACACTAATACATATTTTAGCTTAATGGAAGCATTAAACAATTTTTAGTGACAAGAATTAATCATTCAATTTCTTTTATTAATTTTTGTAAATTTTTTTATTCTGTCAGCATTTATTTCACAAAAATGAAAAACAAAATTGCAATTCCAAAAAGCCGTATAAAACTTTGCAGAAATATTATTAGATATTATTATTAAATATCTTTAACATTGGAAGATTCATAGAATATTAAAGCTATCTTTGTCTTCCAAAGGAATTTGAAGTTTTAATTTTCTTTTACAAATGCTTGCAATATTCATTCTTATAGTTTTCTATCGTTATCATTCTTTCGTTTCCTAAAACATAAAAGATTAGTTTTATCAAAGTTGAAAAAAAAAAGGAAAAACTAAATGAGTATCGAAAAAAGTATCGAAAAAAAAAAAAAAAAAAAGAGTATCGAAAAAAAAAAATAAATTAGCTAAGACTAATCTAGATGATGCAAATGTTAGCAATTAAAAAATGATCACTTAAAAAAAAAAAAATTAAGAATTAAATTACTTTGGTGGAATCAAATTGCTTCAAATTGCTGATTTCATTTGGAGAAGATTGCTGCTGTGATGACTGAAAAATTGTCGTACTTTCAACATTTGCATCATTTTCCTCGATCATTATTACATCATGCTTCTCTTGCTCTTCCGGTATACGAGTTTGATACCTGAAATATAAAATGATTAATTTCAATTTTCACAATACTTTTACTCTATTGCCTAATTTGCAACCTTAATTTACAATTCCACTTCATCAATAATACTTATTAGTGATTCAATGTTGCTCCTATTATATTTTTAAATGGAGAAAAAAAAAAAGAAGCATTTATGGTTCTTTTGTTCTGTTAATTTATTCAATTCGAAATAAAATCCAATTTGAAAAAGCTTAAAATATAATTTTTTTTTTTCTTTGATATGTATATATATGATGAAAAAGTGATACCATTCACGATTAAATTCAAGTTGATCAAGTATATATTGTGCATGTGGATTCACCAAATCTGCCCATGTTTCAAATAATGGATGCACGATAAAATCAATGAAGCCAACCTGAAAATAATAATTTTACATTTAGTTTATTAAATAAATGCTAAATACTTATTTGCTGCTATTATCATTTATTATTTATTATTATAATTTACTATTAAGTATTCTTTTTTTCTTATTATTATTTCATTATGATTTATTACTATAAATTATTATTATTTATAATTATTATTATATATACTATAAATTGTTATTATTAATATTATCAATCATTACTATTAATTAATTAATTTTTTCATCTCACACTTATATGCTAACAGAAATTATATACTGATAGCTATTTTCTGCATAAAATTACATATTTAAAAAAGATGTTCTCTTCATTATTGCCGACTTTCCAATGAATTTGATGAATTTAGAAAGAACGAAGAATTACTGATATCATAAGAACAATCCACTTAAATGATAGTGCTTCTTATGTTAAGCTGTGATAGCATAGTTAATCATGATATTACTTTATGATAATTTTCATATAAGATACTTTTGATAATCGCTATTAAATTATGCTCAATAAAATTCAATCACTGATAAATATATAATAATTTTTTGTAACTACCTGAGATTTTGCGATCGTTATATTATTTCGATCACACATCGGTGAAATATCAATACCTAAATCTCGTTCCCTATCACCTTGTCTCCAGTATTCTTCCATTATATTTTTTACCCAAATACTATATAAATCGATTGGTTTTGTTGGATTTGATAAATCTGCCAGATGAATCATTGTTTGCATAACCTAAAAAATATTTATAGGAAATAATAATTTACTTATAAAAAAATATATAAATGACAGATATGCAAATTTCAATTATTGATTTAATGGGAAAAACCTGTATGCGATCAGTTTTATCCAATGTTAAAACTGATGAACCAGCGACTTTTTTTGCTTCAACCATAGTTTTTAAATCAGCTAATATACTCATATGCTTTGACATATCTGTCGCTAATACCTGTAAGTAAGAAAAAAAAGGTATAATTAGATAATATATACACCTACAATTGGTTATACCGGTTAGAAAATACAAATTATTGATTGAATCTAATAATGAGCAAAAGTAAGAAATTTTAAAGTAACAATTTTTAGAATAGTTCAATTCTTACATTCTTTTATTTTAATATTTTTTAAATTTACAACATTTTCTTCAAATTATATTTCATTGAAACAAGGAAGAGAAAAATTTTTATAATGTTTGCTTAATGAGTAAGTGATATCAAAGAATGTAAAAGTTACCAAATAAAGAAAAAGTTTAGAAATTTGTTTTATTTTAATAACATCGTTTTTTGCTCTCTTTTTTTTAAACAAATTAGAAAATATCATTAATTCAGGAACATTTGCAAGTATTATTATCCATGATAAATGATAATTAATAATGAGAGAGTTTACATTATGTGAATTATTACATTAGGAATAATTAAAATTTAACGTATAATTTTAACATATATAAAAAAAATCACTTCGATAAATTATAATATAGTGATAACAATTAAAATATAATCCATTCAAATGAATGAAATATATCATAAGCTTACTTATGAATTTCTTATTAGATGAAAAATTTTAGTTATTATTATGTTAAAAAAAATTATATTATATTATAAATTAGAATATTATTGAGGAAAATAATGAAAAATTGTAACATAAATGAAATATAAGAATTAAAAAAAAAGTGAATAAAATATAATATTTATTAGATAATATAATATGATAAAATAATTGTATAATTAAAATATTTGCGTATATTTGAAATGAATTTTAAAAAAAGAAACAAACCATTTCAATTGTAAGCTTTCGGAATAATTGACGTTGTTTTTTATTAAGTGAAACGATAAAATTACAGTTAGAATCTTGCAATAATTTGAATGCAACTGCTAAATGATGTTGTTCAAGCACTGATTCATCGTTATACATTATAGCTAATTCCGAATCTATAAAAAAAAAAAAAAAAAAAAAAAGAAATAATTTAAAAAAAAATAAATAAGAAAAAAAAGAAATCAATTTATTTGAAAATTTACAAATTTACTTATTTCATAATGAAAGAAAAAAAAGAAGGATGAAAATAAATTTAAATATAGAAATGAAAAAGTTATATTTAATAAGAAAATAAAATTTTAACATACATTATGAACATACAATGATAAATTTTTGAATTTTTCTTTTCTTTTTGAGTTAAAATGAACTAATCAGGAAAGTTACAAGTATTAATGAGATAATAATTAGATTGGAAAAATAAAAATGAAATTTTGAACTTAAAAAAAGTTAATATAATGATGCAATGATAAGCATTTCTTTTCTTCTTTTATAACCGACAAAAAAAAAATCTTCTTTTGACTTTTTTAAATTTTATTTTAATATGAAGAAAAAAAGTTACTAGTATTAATGAGGTAATGATTAGTAAAACCGGGATGATCAACATCATGTATAGCACCAGCAAATATCGATGCTAATACTTCTAATTCCGAGAAAACATTCTGAAATTTTCAACAAAAAAAAAAAAAAAAATAATTTTTTTCTGTTAATATTTCTCTTCGTGCAAAAATTATAACAAAAAAGGAAAATCCAAATATAAATTTTTAATACTATTTCTCTCCTTCGAATTTTCAT